CCCCAAAACCCCAAAACCCCAAAACCCCAAAACCCCAAAACCCCAAAACCCCAAATAAAATTAATAAATTTACATTTATTAATCTAGACTTAAATATAAATGGAAACAGAAGGAGGAGGCACCAGCCTCGCCACCAGGCTTGAGTTAGAGAGCTACGAAATCGGTATCACCCTTGGTACTGGTTCATTCGGAAGAGTCCGTATTGCCAAAGAAAAGAAGACTGGCAAATATGTAGCAGTTAAAATATTAAAGAAAGCTGAAATTATTAAAATGAAACAAGTCGATCATATTATGAATGAGAATAATATTTTAGCCTCTATTGACCACCCCTTCATCATCTCTATGGATGGCTTCACCCAGGACGACAAGCACTTGTACCTCGTAATTGAATTCGTGAGAGGAGGAGAAATGTTTACTTACTTAAGAGGAATAGGCAAGTTTGATGCAAAACAAGCTCAGTTTTACTCATCCCAAGTTGCCTCCATGTTCGAGTACCTCCACAGCAAAAATATAATTTACAGAGATTTAAAACCTGAAAATATTCTTATTGACCACCTGGGTTATTTAAAGCTCACAGATTTTGGATTTGCCAAAATTGTGGAATCAAGAACCTATACTTTATGTGGGACCCCCGAATACTTGGCGCCAGAGATGCTCCTGAACAAAGGGCATGGAAAGCCTGTAGATTGGTGGACATTTGGAATTCTTCTATACGAAATGATTGCTGGAATCGACCCCTTCTCAGACGAAGACCCCATGCTTATTTACCAGAAGATTTTGAAGGGAAAGGTCAAGTTCCCCAGAAGTTTTGACAAGAATGCCAAAAGTCTCGTTAAGCATTTGCTCCAAGCCGACCTCGCAAAAAGGTATGGAAATCTTAAGAGAGGAGTGAAGGATATCAAGGGTCATAGGTTCTACAATGGTCTCAACTGGACTCAATTGCTGAAAAAGGAGATAGACCCACCCTACATCCCTCCAACCAAGGGAGAAGGAGACACTGGATGCTTCTCTCCATACCCAGATTCAGACTCAGAGACCCCTGCAGTAAAGGAAAGCGAGGATCCTTTCTTAGAATGGTAAATTTATTAGCAGTAAATAATGCAAATGAAGTAAATATCCATAATGTTTTTCAACAGTGGGCATAGTTCTGGGGTTTTGGGGTTTTGGGGTTTTGGGGTTTTGGGGTTTTGGGGTTTTGGGG